CGTTGAACGGTACAATCGTACATTACTCAGCATGTTGGGAACTTTACAAGCCACTGAGAAACATCACTGGCGCGATTTTGTAAAACCACTTACTCACTCGTACAATTGTACAAAAAATGACGTGACGGGATACTCTCCCTACGAGCTAATGTTCGGTAGGCAGCCTCGGTTGCCTATAGATATTGCCTTTGGGTTACCGCATTTGAACAAGCCCTCTATAACTCATTCTCAGTATGTTAAAGAACTGAAGAGTCATCTGGAACAGAGTTATGACATTGTCATAAAAAACTCTCAAAAAACAGCGAGGAAGAACAAAGAACGGTTCGACAGAAACATTCGTGAGTCCACACTAGGTGTGGGAGATCGTGTTTTAGTCCGAAATCTTCGCTTAAGAGAAAAGCATAAATTAGCAGACAAATGGGAGCAAACAGTATATATAGTTCTCAAACAGATGGAAAACTTGCCAGTATACACTGTAAAACCAGAGAACGGAGAAGGACCCAACAGAACACTCCACAGAGATCTTTTACTGCCTTGTGGTTTTCTCTCTTCATTAGAAAATGAAACAGAACGCGTTACGAAACCTAGCAGACCTCATACAAGACAGAGTTCAGCCTTAGAACCTGACCCAGATGAGCCACTTGACGAAGAGGTAGATGAGTTTTATTACTCTGATCTTCCACAAGTGCTAAACCGACCATCCTATCAAATAGCGGTCACCTTGCCAAATAGGGAACTCATAGCAGATTCAGGACCGGTAAATAATATTCAACAACAAAACACACTATCCTTACACACAGGGGATCGCAAGGAACCAACCTTAGCTGGTAATGAAAATGCTGAATTGTCCTTACTTGACAAAGGCATCAACACCGAAACATTCTTACCTGACAGAATGAGTGAAACTGCGACATTCTTACCTGAAAGAGTGAAAGAAGCAGCAACATACTTACCTGAAAAAACGAAAAAAAACGAAGTATACTTACCTGACGTAGAAACGGGGGATGAAACTAACACAAACCTACCTCAATTGGATGGTGTCCTAAAGTCGCAGCAACGTGATGTAAGTTTTGAACCCATCATACACGATCAGACACATACATCTGAAAAGACCAAAGTCTTAGAGAATAGCTCATCAGCTCTGTCGGAAACAGAGAGCTCACTTCGTCCTGTCTCAGTTGAGAATCAAACCGAAACGGATGAGCATGATACTGTGCAACCAGAGATGTATGTCAGGAGATCTGAACGAAGTAGTCAGCCTCCTCAAAGACTAACTTACTCTCAATTGGGCAATCCACTAGTGACCGTAGTTAGGTCCCTTTTCCAAGGACTTAATAAAGCTTTTATTGACTCTCTTACTCAAGAAGTTGTGTACCCCGTAGAAACAATGCACAGGGACGTGCATGATATTTAATGGGGGAGGATGTAACCCAGAAGCTAGAACCTTAATGAGGTATTAACTAATTGGCTTACTAATATGATCCATCCTCAATTTAGATAAAATATAAAATATAAATTAAGGAAATTAACAATACTAATTAATAGATATCTAATTAACTAATAGATAATTTCATAATGAATTATTGGAAGGGTGAATAACTAAAATAACGAGTTTAATATTAAACATCGGTTAAAACAAGAATCTTGAACATCCCTAACAGAAACAGAAGAGGAAAGCTGTATACTATTGGTCCAGGTGGGAATCTGAAATTTCATTGGCTGAGAGAAATAAGTCCCGCCTCCGCGAAATAAAACCGTGCGACGCAGCTGAGCGAGAGGAGAGACAAACGGCTGTGCAGCACGCAGATACAGAAAGCAAAGACTGAGCGGTTAGAGAGAGAGAGAGAGAGAAAAAAAAACAACGGTCGAGGCCGTGAAGAACCCTGATTTGGGTGCCGCATAGATAGAGGGAGAGGCGGACTTGACTCCTTCTAATAAGAGCTAGGAACTTGGAACCAACGCGGTGAGTAAAGGAAAAAGAAGAGAAAAAGCTAACGATGCAACTTAAAAAAAAAGGAAACTTAAATAGCTTATCAAATTAATTTCATTCTTATAGATTTGTGTGGAGACGACAGAGTGAACCAATCCTCTGTAGGAGGGAACCGTTGGAGCGCGTTGGTGAGTGAATGAGATTAAATTCAGTAAATTATTAAATTCAAAAAGCTAATTACAGCAACCGAGGTGACAGCAGTGGGCTGCTAGACGTTAGATCCCAGGAGTTAACATCTCAAACTACCAGTTAACGGTGGTAGGGCATATAGGAGTTAACGGCTCAAACCGCCAGTTAACGGCGGTAGGGCATATGGGATTCCCAGGAGTTAACGGCTCAAACCGCCAGTTAATGGTGGTACGGCCTAGATGTACAAGGTCCTCAGGGGCGTTATAGCTAACGCCATAGAATTAGCAATGCGTCCCTTAACCAAACATTTAATAATAAAAAAAATAGATAAATAAAAATAAATAAAAGCTAACTGATTAGGGAGGAATTATTTTACAAAGGTGGACCAAAGGACCAGAATTTATATTTTGTTGAATTTTGTTATAGAACATTTTATTTATTTATTTATTTATTTATTTATTGTGTTACAGATATACAAGGTGTCACAATGCTGTATAGAAACACAACTAAATGTATCCTTGTTGTCATGAATGTATTTCTTGTCGAATAGTGTAGAGTAATAGAATCTAACTGAGCCTATTGAGCTGAACAATTGTTGTCATATGTAATTATATTTCCAGAGCTACTGAGAATTATTTTAATAGACAATCAAATTGATGTTATGTTAGTTGAACTGTGAACCCAAACATGATTGGCTATGCCAATAGAGTGAAGCATTTGTTTAAGTCTGTAAGACTTTATGCTGTGATGTGACGAGAAGGGTCGATGCCAACTCGCTAACAGTCCTGTTGTTTACAGGCTGGGTTTTTTTTTTTTTCCTTGGGTTTGATCCCGACTCCTATGATCACTCACTTGGAACGAGAACTGGATTTCTTCCTGACGAGGGAGATGGCGAGCCTTAACCACTGAACGAACCAGGACATCTCAAGTAACTGAAGAGCAGACTGCTCTCTTCTGTGAACAATCTCAACGGTGCGGTAGGAAAAAATCGCACCACCGGACTCTGACTTTCACCCCAAGCGTGGGGATTTGACTTGACGCCGGCTGACTTGTGACTCATATGATCAAATCTCATACCGACCATTTTACTATTGTCGATTGTTTTCATCTGTTTTTGTGTGTTATCTTTATGTGTTATATTTCCCATTATTATTAAAATTTAGTATATAAACCGTTTCATGCTATACCCGTGACTCCAGTCATTCTTAAACAACCTCCAATTCTCCCCGAACCTAATTATTGGCCCATTTGTTTATTTTTTCTTTTAATTATCTTATTGTATCCTGTAATCCGGTTACAGTCAGATGAAGCCACGGCAGCACTGATAGTTTGTTGCTACGGTTACACCAGCGGAGACCCAGGTGACCAGACGGAGGGCCTCTGTGATTTGAGTAAACACACACAACTGGACCTGGGATCAGAAACCTCTCAGTCCAAACAGGGAAGTCCCAAAGTGAGAGCTTCATTATTACACGCTAACTCACCAACGGTTCTGGCGTTTGTCGTTCTGGATCACACGTTTGGGTCGGATTCTAAAGTCCAGAGGCTCTTGTTTGAACTCAAAGCAAAAGAACTAGTTCAGATGCAACCATCGCCTCTCTTTTCTACACCAACAGTTTTCAGATTCATCCAGGAAACGGTTTCAAGTCAGCAGGAACACTGGAGCTAGTAATCTGATTACTACAGAAACTCGGAGACCTCACGCCGTGGACACACTGGCCGCGGAAGCGCCGCGAAAATAGGACCGCCTTCATTAGGCGCCCTTGTTAAGCTATTCTATAGACCACATGGGCCGCCGAAGCGCCGCGAATCACCTCGCGCCGGCGCTCCAGCCCGCGCCGTGCAGCGATCATTTCGGCGTTGGCTCTATTTTTTTCGCGAGCCGCGGGTGAATCGCGTCAATTCTGGCAGGAAGTCAAACGTAGACATAAGAGGCAGGCCGGTAAAGTTAACAAAATAAAGCATTTCAAAATAAATTTCCGCGATAGTCAAATGTGTTCATAATCAGACACTGCAGAAAAACCACACGAACACACACACACATCGAACTTGTGTGCGTGTGTGACCACGTGAAGGGGGTGTGGTTTTGGGTGTCTTTTCACGGAGCAAACAGGACAGAGAGGCAGAAAGTCTGAGGCAAGCAGTTAGGATGGATGACTTTAAATTAATTATGGAAGTTGAGAAACACAAGGAGATGTACGACCCCCGAAAAACATGATTATTTATACGTACCCGTTTAGGAAGAAACTGCTAGGATACAGCTGCAGAATTGGAGCGGGTTCCAAGAGATTCAACTGGCAGAAACAACTCATACCATAGGTTCTCACACACACACACACACGCACACACGCACACACACACGCACACACACACACACACACACACACGCACACGCGTACAAACACTCAAACGTAGAGGAAAAGAGCTGAGAAAAGGCAGAGAGGAAATGGAGGACACCAAGTGTTTAAAAGAAAAACTACAGCTGAGCCGAGGCGCGCCTCGACTGGGGCGCGTCTGATCTGAACTGAGGAGCGGCGAGCAGCGGCCGAATTTCGTGAGCGATTTGCTTCTCGGCGCTTTGCGGCGCTTCCGCGGCCGGTGTGTCCCCGGCGTCAGATTTCACGTCGCCTCCGACTCCTCTTGAATAATGATGGTTACTGTTGTTTTGGTCACATGTTGAAAAGATATCCATAATCATCCTTAATTGAACAAGCTCTTATCTACCACAGCTGTAAATAAACAACAGACATTCGTGTCGTTAATGTCCGCTGTGGCGGCCATCATGTACTGGAGCGACTCTGAAGTGAACGTGTTCTAGACGTCCATCCTACGATCCCATTCTGGGATATTTGGGTCCCAAACACACTCGCTGAGCCCTCACCATGCCTTTCAAAGAAGGGTCGGCGAGCGGCGAGCGGTTTCCATGGAAGTCCGGCCACACGTGAAGGCTGGACCCCAGCAGGTCAGCAGCAGAACCCGAGCGAGCCATGGAGTCCAGGTGTGTGTTCAGGTGTGTGTAGATGTTCTCCCCTCTGGAAGAGACCGGTGCACAAGGAGCTGAATAACACCGACTGTGTTACACAAATCAAAGCGTTAAAAGGAGTGAAGGGATCATGTGACCTGAGCTGAGCCTGCTGCTGGAGCTGGGGGTAGGCGGCGTGGCCCTGCACCACGTGGTCGATCTGAGGGAGGAGAGAGAGCATCGCAGGTGATCAGCAGGTCAGCTGAGTAACAGAATGAAGAAGTTATTAAAAAAGTGGGTTGGTCTATTTCATCACATCCATTATGTTCCTGTTACAGTCTGAGGTGATTCTGGGTTTGTGTGCAGCCTGAAGGAGAGGGCAGGTTCTGACCAGACTTCCTGTAGCGCTCTGGCCTCCCTCGTTGAGCCACAGACCAGGTACCATAGCAGACAGGTAGGGTCCCCACACCCCCGGCACAAACAGGGCCCGCCCACTGACCTGCTCCAGACACACAGCAACTCAACTCGTTAATATTTCTATTCATGGACGTAATTTTGGGGGGGGGACAGGGGGGACATGCCCCCCCCACTTTTTCCAAAGTCAAGTTTTGACCCCTGCAATTTTTACCATCCAAAAACAATATTACGCTATATTAAATTGACACTGGTTGAGCTCTAGGACCAAGCGGAAAACAACCGTTTGTGTTGAAGCCTGTTTCCCATTAGAGCATACTGTCAAGACCCCCCCCCCTCCGTGTCCCCCCCACTTCTAAAGTGAAAATTACGTCCTTGTTTCTATTATTATTATTATTATTATTATTATTATTATTATCACCTGACTGTAGCTGAACAGCCTGTCAGCAGGGGTCTAATGTGGATTTTAGGTCTATAGCTGAGAAATCTTTTACAGAAGGAAGAGCAGATTATTTCCTCTCATAAGAAACAAACTTTATACATCATTAAAATAAACTGGAACATGTTTTATTTGGTCATGTTCAGATTTTCATCAGTGTGAGTGAAATTATGTGTTAATTGCTTAAGTTTTACTTATCCAACCCTTTTAGGTGACAATAACGATTAAATCCTGAAGCACAGAATTCCTAAAACTACATTTGGAAAAAAATAATTTCATCAGGCTTTAATGTGGCCGTCACCTCGGCCGGAATCACAATCTCCTGCTGGGCGTGATCCTCAGAGTTGGGTGTTAAAGTCTCTGGATTAATAACCGTGTTAGGTGTAGGGTGTACAACCTATTTCTCCAAACATAGGCTGTTCAGGAAGCTAAATACAAAAACATGTTACACATAAATGCACTGATGGTGAATACTGAGCTCGAGTCATAAATACACCCTAATCCTAACACTGACCGCCAAGTGACAAGTGGAGGTCCCGCAGATCATCGCCATGCGTGATGTGATTGGTTGATGCTCGCAGGGCAGGTTGAAGCCGCTCACATTGGCGCCGATCACACCTGGATGGGGGGACAGTTGGTTTTTATATCAGATAACTTTAACCAAGAGCTAAACCACACACCAGATTTTGTGAGCCAAGATTTCCATCCTGAAGAGAGGATGGGAGACATAATTTAGCTGTTTTTGGATCTGACTAAAGAATTCAGTCAGTGGAATTTTACGCCTGGAAAGCAAATAATAATAATAATAATAATAATAACAATTTTGGGTGACCCCCAAAATCATGATATTTGGGTCATGCTGAGGTGAACAACCCAAAAAATGATATTTGGGAGACATTAAAGGGACTTTTCGGACTTTTGAATTTTTATGCTCGCGATTGCCCCCTCAGGCCAAAAGGGTAACGACAGCTTCAATAGTAGACTCGTGCACGAGGCGCGCATGCTGCACGTGCACACTCCTTAACAAAAATAACAGCTGACACCGTCCTGTGTGTGTGTGTGTGTGTGTGTGTGTGTGTGTGTGTGTGTGTGTGTGTGTGTGTGTGTGTGTGTGTGTGTGTGTGTGGCCCGGAGGACGGAGGACAGGAGAACACGCAGCTAATTAATTAAATAATTTGGTTCTGTACCTTTCTCTTCAGCACAGCGGACAAAGGTTTATGATGGGTCAGTCCTCCTGCATGCTCAGATCATTCCCTTCCCTTGCTTGAAAAATTGTTCCAAAATGAAAGTTGAACCCACATCTTTTTTATCTGTGAATTCAATGCCGTTCAGCGAGTCTCAAATAAAAATTAGGGCATCTTACTGTAAAAAAATATACCATTAATGTAAAATAGAGACTCTAAACCAACTATGTTGACATCCAGAATCAAACCCAGGTCTTCTGCATGAGAGTCAGACATCTTACCAGGTGAGCTAAAGCACCAGTGACATATTTTGTATCTGTAACATTTATATCCTTGATTACAGCTGAAACAACGTTCAAAGAACGGTTCGGAGTGAAAATGGCTATTTTGTTGCTAATTTGCAGGAAATTTCTAGAAGAAAGTTCTACAGAAAGTAGCTAAGGGTCCTCAGAAATGTAGCTAGCTTTGTCACTAGGCGTTAGGAACAGCGACAAAGTGGCACTGCCTCTCTCTCTGCTGCTAAAGCTACGGATAGCAAATGCTACGGGCGATGCCTGAGCGTGAACGCGCATGAAGCAGCCTGCTCGACCCGAGCATCTCTCTTTTTCTGTGATTTTACAGAAAAACAGGCAATCACAGTAAAAATGCCAGGGCTCATTCTACAGGACCAGGGCATTGCAGGAGAATGTATGAAGAAGACATTTATTATTTCTGTACATGTTTTGGCTCTCAAACTTCCATAATGCCCCTTTAAAGAGAAGCATTAATGCCCCTGGAAGAATAATAATAAAGGATATTAATGTTGAAAACTTCCCAGGTGCATAACAATAAGGGCCCTTGTTGCTGAAGCAGCAGCAGTTACCATAATAAAAGTGATTAATGTTGCAAATTCAACAACTCAACAATTCCTGAAGATGTTTTAAAACCGGGCACAAGACAGTTTTTATGTAAATGTGAAAAATGCTGCACGCTCAAAATTTGAAAGGATAGTTCAATCTGCCCAAAAATGGGATTTTTTTTTAATGTTTTTTGCTAATTATCTCGCCATGGTAAATCGGATTGCTTCGAAAAGTAATATGGACCCTGTCTCCTCCCTTTCTAGTCGGCTCGCGGGTCCCCGGAAGAAAGAAAAAATGGATGCAAGTCAACTGAGCTAAAAACGCTATTTTCAAATCGGCTTTGCCTTACGCCCTGGATCACGCAAATGTTGTACTGCAATTTAAATGAAAAGTAATGATGGTATTTCAATCATGCCAGCCATGTGCTTTGAGATTTATCAGCTTGTAAAAGTTCGTAATTAGCACGACTACATCGGCACGTCGCATATATGACGTCACGACAGACTATCCTCCCCCCTAGCATGGCTGCTAATTATCACATGGCCAGGAAGGATTTGAAGTTTGCCGAACTTGCAGCCATTTTCCGTTTTTCTTCGTGTCTGGTTTGATGACAGCGCATTTGTAGTCCTGAACATATTTTCACACAAACCCTAAAATGACGTTTCTCCAGTTTAAAAATAAGCAAGTTCTTGGTATCATATTGCTTCTTTAAAATTCATGGACGTCGTATATTTCTAGGCTTGACTATTGTTGAGTTGAGCCAGGCAGTAATGAATCGTCTCCAGTTGGTTCAGAACTCGGCAGCCAGGCTTCTGACAGGGACAAGGAAATCAGCACATATTACTCCTGTGCTGGCAGCGTTACACTGGCTTCCTTCGCAGAGGCAGTGCAAGGCGCTCTATTAATAAAGTTTGATTGATTGATATGTGAAATCCATGGAACATAACAAGCGGAATCGGAAAATAGCGTTTTTAGCCCTGTTGACTTGCGTTTGTTTTGTTGTTCTTCCAGGGACCCATGGTCCAGAAGTAGATGTAGACTTAGGCTCCCTATAGCACACCTCCCACCGCCGAGCCGCTTGTTCTGATGTATAATTTGTGGGGGGTGCACGCTGTCGTTCGAGCCGCATTAATGTTCGCGGATGAAGAAGAATAAAGGCGATTAATGCCAAACCCAGACCCAGTGCGTAATAACAAGGGCTGCTGTAGAAAGAGCCGTCAATAATAAAATACCAGAAATGTTTGGATTTGGAGGAGGAGCTTTCTGTACTTATTGCACTAAACAACTCTGAGAAAATGAGCAGAATCCAGAATTCTGTGACGGCCAGTACCTAGGCCTCCAGCATGAGCGTCGATGAGAGAAGCACCAACGGCTGTTCCTGGGTTCAAACCCAGATCTGATGCAGCCTCGGCTGTTAGACCTCCTCCCAGAGGACTTCCTGGAGGCGCTGCCACGCTGCCTGGTGACAAAAGGACAGAAGGTCTAAAATATGCCTAAAAAGCAGACAAACTAATAAAAAAACACCTTCAACATGCTTTTATGAAAATGTTCTAAATGTTTCCTGAACATTTATATCAAAGTTATGATTGAAAGTCAAAAAGCGGCTGTAAATCTGATTCCACCTGGATCAGGAGTCTAATGAGCCACGTTCTTCCCCTAGATGCTCAGAAACAGTCAGGGTCTCCCACACACAACGGTCCGCTCGAACCATCGAAATATAAATATTGGACAATGGGTTTCCATAGGCTCCAATAACATATTTTTGAAGATAAATGGGAGGTGGCCACCACCGCCATTTTGACCGTGTCACAGGTTCCGTCAAGCCCAGAAAATTCCACAAAAGGGCTGAGGGTGGGGCTGTAAGGCTGGGATCAACTGACGACACCCGGTCGAACTAACTACAAGCTAACCTGAAGCTAACCCAAAGCTAACGCAGAGGTGGGAGCTAAGCTAACGGCGGTAGCAACCTAGCTACAACCAGAGTTAACTGTGCACAACACCAGAGCTTCTGAGTCAGAGATACGCCAGGCTGACCGCTGGGTAAAACCGGGTGGAACACAGAGGTCTCCGAGAGCTCCACAAGCCGGCAGCCGCGCAGCAGTCAGAAGCCGCGATCAGACAGAGATGCGCCGAGCTGCGGGGAGGGGAGGACTGGTGGAAAACATTGGTCTCCCGAGAGCTCCACAAGCCGATAGTGGGAACCCAGCTCCACCAACATGTTATATTTCAACCCATTTTCTAAAGTGCACCATTATGTTAAATGCACTGGGTTTTACCCTATTACATTTAAATTTCATGGTTAAACAGTACATGGTAAAATCTAAGCTCAGTTCGGCAGTGACCTAAAATACATAAATATAATTTTACTTACCGATAAAAATGAAGTGGAGACTCCTTGGACGCTCTATTAGTGCAATTAATGCCACAGCAAGTCATTTTGTCCAACAATTGCACAAAAAATATCCAAAACAGAATACACAAACACAGAGACTCAAAATCCCGGAACAGTTTCCAGGCCAGACCGAGGCTCTACTGAGGCCTTTCCACGGAGCTAGCTCTGTGGTCACGTGGGTCTGGTGCTCATTAATTATACAGAATTTTAGGCTTTTAATACACTTAAACAGAAGAGTGAGAAAAAAATTCACCCCCCTCAGAGTTGTCATGAGTGTAAACTAGATCATTTAAACCAGAAACATGTTTTGGTACCAGGCTGTAAACATGTTTATTTCTGCTGTGAAATTGGTATTTTTAACATGGGAGTCAATGAGGATTTGCTCGCTTCTGACACCAGCCCCTAGTGGATGAGGGTGGAACTGCAATTTATGTCACTTCCGCGTTGGCCTCAATTTTTCACCCGCATTGTGGGGGCTTGTCTGGAACACAGTCCAACCCACAAAATCCACTAAGCCTGTTTATGAAAACCAGGTGTGGTTGAATTCTGCTGATTCTAACTGGAACATGAAGTCATTAGGGTGCAATATAAAATGGAAATTGGGATCAAACTGAGCACCTGCTCAGGTGGAATTTAGACAAAATCCAGAGCCACGTTCTGCGATGACCAATCACGAATTAGCTCCTGCTTTGAGGAGTACAGATATGAAGCAGAGAACGCCTGTACGCCGGTTTCAGCTGAAGCTAAAGTCTCGACCTATGTCATAGGTTTCTCACCTATTTTAGAGAAGTTGTTTTCCAGAAGGTCTTCCAGTCCAACACTGATCCAGAAGCTGTCGTCCCATCCTTCAGGAGGACAGTAGGTCCACTTACACACCAGGGTACATAAAGATCTGAGGAACAGAACCGTAGTGAGCTGTGATGTCTGTTAGGAGTTCGGAGTGTCGCTTTGAACCATCAGAAACATTTTGTCTGAGATAAAACACACCAATCAAAGCTGATGGAGATATTGTGTTGTTGTCTACAAACCAACCATGACAAAGAGATAGTGAAGCGTGGGTCAGTGTCATTTACCCTAACCCTAACCAAAACAGAAGGGTTTCACCTAAGAGCACTCGCCTCGTCAGCGAGCCTGTTGCCTTCCAAGACAGGAAGTCAGGAAGGTCAAAGAAGTGGGCGGCTTTGTCCCAACAGCTGTCTTTCAGGTTCTGACAGGAAAACGAATCATCAGAAATAAAAACAAATCTTATGACTGAACAGCTAAAAATCACAGGTTGGTAAATCTGACTGAACCAAGCAGCTAGTTAAAAGAGAGCCGAGGCTGGGTGGTGACCTCGCTCACCTCTTTGAGCCACAGGAGCTTCGGGGGTTGCATCTCCTGTGACATGACCCCTCCGACCCTGCTCAGGACCCTGTGGTTGGTGTTTGTTATACGAGCAGCTTGCTCTGCAGCACGATGGTCCATCCACATGACCACATTCTGCTGTGAGTCACCTGGAAGAACAAGAAACAACCAGAGAACGTGAGCCAGAACCAAACTACTGCAAGGAGAAGTTTTTATGGCAAAAACACTCGATTAGGAGACGACTAGCATCCAGGCTGGATGAGTTCTGCTGTTAGCCTGGATGACCCCTGACCCTTAATCTCAAATTGAGGAGGAGCAATGTGGTTTTCGTCCTGGCCGTGGAACTGTGGACCAGCTCTATACCCTTGCAAGGGTGATGGAGGTGGCATGGGAGTTTGCCCAACCAATCCACGTGTTTTGTGGATTTGGAGAAGGCTTATGACCGTGTCCCCAGGGGCACCCTGTGGGGGACGCTCCAGGAGTATGGGGTGGGTGGCTTTCTGTTAAGGGCCATTCAGTCCCTTTACCAGAGGAGCATGAGTTTGGTCCGCATAGCCGGTAGTAAGTCGGACCTGTTCCCGGTGAGGGTTGGACTCCGCCAGGGCTGCCCTTTGTCACCGGTTCTGTTCATAATCTTTATGGACAGAATTTCTAGGCGCAGCCGTGGTGTGGAGTGTGTCGAGTTTGGTGGCAGGAGAATCTCGTCTCTGCTTTTTGCGGATGATGTGGTCCTCCTAGCTTCATCCAGCTCTGACCTTCAGCTCTTGCTGGGTAGGTTCGCAGCCGAGTGTGAAGCGGCTGGGATGAGGATCAGCACCTCCAAATCTGAGACCATGGTTCTCAACCGGAAAAGGGTGGCTTGCCAACTCCGGGTCGGGGGAGAAGTCCTACCTCAAGGGGAGGAGTTTAAGTATCTCAGGGTCTTGTTCACGAGTGAGGGTAGGAGGGATCGGGAGATCGACAGGCGGATTGGTTCGGCGTCTGCAGTGATGCGGACGCTGAGCCGATCTGTCGTGGGGAAGAGGGAGCTGAGCCAGAAAGCCAGGCTCTCGATTTACCGGTCGATCTACGTCCCAATCCTCACCTATGGTCATGAGCTTTGGGTAATGACCGAAAGAACGAGGTCGCGGATACAAGTGGCCGAAATGAGTTTCCTCCGTAGGGTGGCCGGGCTCAGCCTTAGAGATAGGGTGAGGAGCTCGGACATTCGGGAGGGACTCGGAGTAGAACCGCTGCTCCTCCGGATCGAAAGGAGTCAGTTGAGGTGGTTTGGGCATCTGGTCAGGATGCCCCCTGGACGCCTCCCTGGGGAGGTGTTTCGGGCATGTCCTGCCGGCAGGAGGCCCCCGGGTCGACCCAGGACACGTTGGAGAGGTTACATCTCCAATCTGGTCCGGGAACGCCTTGGGGTCCTGCCGGAGGAGCTGGTGGAGGTGGCCGGGGAGAGGACGGTCTGGAGCTCCCTAGTTGGGATGCTGCCCCCACGACCCGGACCCGGATTAGCGGAGGAAGACGACGACAACCCCTGACCTCACCATGGAGGAGGGACTCCTGTCCTTAAGGGATTGTTCCCATATGACACTACACAAACACTATCCATCCTAAGGGTGTGCAAGTATGGAGATAAAAATCTGAATTACTCTGAGAGCTGAGACACGCTGCTGGACCCGGGGCACAGAGCTCCAGACTCTACGATATGATCAGACTTAAGTCGTTACAGTTTATATTTTAGATGAATAACTTCAGAAATATTCGTTTTGACAGGCTGTCTGTAAAGAACACACATTTCCAGCAAACGTTTCCCTGAACCATATGTCATAAAATATCCAGAGTTCACATTTTAAAGAGACCACAGACACCAGGGAGGAGCGGCGCTGGGCTGTTTGGTCATTATCAAAACTTAAGAGATCAATATAACTGGAATTCTCTTTTATAAAGTGGACACCATCCCATCTTCTCAGGCTGCTAGAAAAGCAGAGAAAAGCTGCTAGGGGAGCCTGGAGGGCCAAGCTTTTTTTATTTTTATTTTTTTAAAACCAAAATTATTGTTGAAGAATCAGAAAAAATTAATTCTTTCTGGACTTCATGAGATCGTGACATGAGACAATAGTGATAAAGATATTTAAAGGGACATTATGGAAGTTTGACAGCCAAAACATGCATAGAAATAATAAATGTCTTCTTCATACGTTCTCCTGCAATGCCCTGGTCCTGTAGAATGAGCCCTGGCATTTTTACTGTGATCGCCTGTTTTTCTGTAAAATCACAGAAAAAGAGAGATGCTCGGGTCGAGCAGGCTGCTTCATGCGCGTTCACGCTCAGGCATCGCCCGTAGCATTTGCTATCCGTAGCTTTAGCAGCAGAGAGAGAGGCAGTGCCACTTTGTCGCTGTTCCTAACGCCTAGTGACAAAGCTAGCTACATTTCTGAGGACCCTTAGCTACTTTCTGTAGAACTTTCTTCTAGATATTTCCTGCAAATTAGCAACAAAATAGCCATTTTCGCTCCGAACCGTTCTTTGGTTTGAACGTTGTTTCAGCTGTCATCAAGGATATAAATGTTACAGATGCTGAAGACGTCACTGACAATTTAGCTCACCTAGTAAGACGTCGGACTCTCATGCAGAAGACCTGGGTTTGATTCTGGATGTGAACATAGTTTATTTAGAGTCTCTATTTTACATTAATGGTATATTTTTTACAGTAAGATGCCCAAATTTTTATTTGAGACTCGCCGAACGGCATTGAATTCACAGATAAAAAAGATGTGGGTTCAACTTTCATTTTGGAACAATTTTTCAAGCAAGGGAAGGGAATGATCTGAGCATGCAGGAGGACTGACCCATCTTAAACCTTTGTCGGCTGTGCTGAAGAGAAAGGTACAGAACCAAATTATTTAATTAATTAGCTACGCGTTCTCCTGTCCTCTGTCCTCCGAGCCACATACACACACACACACAAGAGACTGTCTCAGCTGTTAAGACCCTTTTACTACCTACATCATCAAAAGTTTTGCGCGCAGCCTGGCAACGAGAGTGAAGGCTTCCTCATTCACACTCGATACTAAAACAGCGTTTTAAACCCTTTGTTTTGAAGTTCTGAGCACATAAAAATGTCGGGTTGTTGCGTGTATGGATGCCAGAATCGCTTCTCTTCAAGCAGTGGACTGAAACTTTACAGAATTCCGAAGGGAGCACATCCATTTCAACAAAATCGGAGGTGTCTGTGGCTGCAGGCCATCAAAAGGGTTGATGAAAACGACTGAAAACACGATCCGAAATGCTCGAGTTTGTAGCGCCCATTTTATATCAGGTAAGGTAATTATGTACTAAGATTACACCAGAAAGCTGGTTAACGCGTGTTCTATTAAATAAAGTAAGTTGTGTTTGCCGGTTTGCTTTTAAGCAGTCTATTTATTTACAGACGAGGTTTTCTGGTTTTCCCATCCTAACACAAAGCTCAACTTTGAATAAAATTGCTGCTGCATGACCCAAGTCTGGAACATCAAAATTACATAATTAAACAAATGTATACGCTTTATTTCATGCTTCAAATTAACATTTCATTCTAATTCATCTGTATTTTCCCACTGCATATTAGTATAAACTGTATTTCTCTAAAATGAACACGATTGTACTCTGAGCACGCTAAAAAAAGAAACCTATGCTATACTCACCCTGCCATGCAGGTACAGTTGGCTGTGAAGACGTAGTTCTCTGGTTTGTTTACTATGACCCAAGCCTCGTACATAGCAGTCTTGTGTCCTTGTCTTTGGCTAGGAAGGACTTCTGCCTTCAAGACGCAAAACTCAGAGTCTATGTCGTGATATTTTACTTTCTGTACGTGGCCACAGACAACATAGTTGTATGCATCTAACGATGTGTATGCCCGTAGCTTCTCACGTGTGTACTTACTGGGCCTCTCCACTAAAAACGTATACATATCGGGCCACTGGATATCTGGCCACGCACCTACATCTTCCACCCATTCCGTAATGCCACAGGGATCCGGGAGTCTGTTGCCATTCGTTAAAGTGACTTTAATAATATAACATTCAAGATTTGCCGGTGATAACCCCGCAGCGTAGCTTGATAAAGCCTGACACAACGCCGTTCTCTGTTGCCAAGCTGCGCGCGCATTCTCGCTGACGTCATATTGTTTACAAACAGTAAAAGGGTCTTTTCATTAAGGAGTGTGCACGTACAGCACGCGCACCTCGTGCACGAGCCTACTATTGAAGCTGCTGTTATGCTTTTGGCCTGAGGGGGCGATCACGAGCATAAAAATTCAAAACTGTGAAGTCCCTTTAAGTTTTATTTTTTTAAGGCACATTATCTTTTACTGGGTTTTGCTGTCTTATGTTGGGCTGACTATTTAAAACACCACCAGGCCAGGTGGGCTGAGGCTGGCAGAGGCACTGGGAGAGGCACTGGGAGAGTCATTTGAAGGCACGACTAGAAAAAAGAGCATGTTTGCTACCCGGAATGAGACAAAATTTTAATAGTTAATTTTTGTTGATTACAATGTTACATTGATTATTCTGAGCAGAAATTATATCTTAAATTCCAACGTGATTAATTTTACAGAACTAAACAAAGGTGGGAAGGGCAAAGATAAAAAGCAAGAGATAATAAAACTATCTACAAAAATGTTACAACTCAGAAGAGAAACTCAAAACTTCTCCATTCTACCACCGAGGAATGCATAAATAATACAGCAGATTCAGATCAGACTACAAACACACTGACACGATACACAGAACACTCACCTTCCTCAGTGACAGACACAGGCTGGAAGTTCTGGTCCAAAACCACTAAGGAGCAGGTGGCATCAAATCCGATCCCCAGAACCTGGTTCTTCTGCACCCCACGGGTCACTCTCTGCAGCAAGAACACATCCCACTGGTTCCATCTGTACCATGTCCAAGTCAACTAGAATTTAGCAGCTTTAAATGATGCTGAAGCCAGAACATCTGCTGGTTCCTCGCAGCAAGAAAATTGCAGGCTCAAATCCAGGCTGCCGCCTTTTTGCTCGGAATTAGCATGTTCTCCTCGTGCATGTGTGGTGTTAGCATGTTCTCACAATGTATGTGTGGTGTTAGCATGTTCTCCTCGTGCATGTGTGGTGTTAGCATGTTCTCACAATGTATGTGTGGTGTTATCATGTTCTCCTCGTGCATGTGTGGTGTTAGCATGTTCTCCTCGTGCATGTGTGGTGTTAGCATGTTCTCACAAAAATGTGTGGTGTTAGCTTGTTCACACAATGTATGTGTGGTGTTAGCATGTTCTCCTCGTGTATGTGTAGTGTTAGCATGTTCTCACAATGTATGTGTGATGTTAACATGTTCTCCTCGTGCATGTGTGGTGTTAGCATGTTCTCACAATGTATGTGTGGTGCGGTGAGGCGTTAGCATGTTCTCCTGGTGCATGTGTGGTGTTAGCATATTCCCATATGTATGTGTGGTGTTAGCATGTTCTCACAATGAATGTGTGGTGTTAGCATGTTCTCACAATGAATGTGTGGTGTTAGCATGTTCTCCTCGTGCATGTGTGGTGTTAGCATGTTCTCACAATGAATGTGTGGTGTTAGCATGTTCTCACAATGTATGGGTGGTGTTATCATGTTCTCCTCGTGCATGTGTGGTGTTAGCATGTTCTCCTCGTGCATGTGTGGTGTTAGCATGTTCTCACAAAAATGTGTGGTGTTAGCTTGTTCACACAATGTATGTGTGGTGTTAGCATGTTCTCCTCGTGTATGTGTGGTGTTAGCATGTTCTCACAATGTATGTGTGATGTTAACATGTTCTCCTCGTGCATGTGTGGTGTTAGCATGTTCTCACAATGTATGTGTGGTGCGGTGAGGCGTTAGCATGTTCTCCTGGTGCATGTGTGGGGTTAGCATATTCCCATATGTATGTGTGGTGTTAGCATGTTATCACAATGAATGTGTGGTGTTAGCATGTTCTCACAATGAATGTGTGGTGTTAGCATGTTCTCCTCGTGCATGTGTGGTGTTAGCATGTTCTCACAATGAATGTGTGGTGTTAGCATGTTCTCACAATGTATGGGTGGTGTTATCATGTTCTCCTCGTGCATGTGTGGTGTTAGCATGTTCTCACAATGTATGGGTGGTGTTATCATGTTCTCCTCGTGCATGTGTGGTGTTAGCATGTTCTCACAATGAATGTGTGGTGTTAGCATGTTCTCACAATGTATGGGTGGTGTTATCATGTTCTCCTCGTGCATGTGTGGTGTTAGCATGTTCTCACAATGTGTGTGTGGTGTTAGCATGTTCTCCTCATGCATGTGTGGTGTTAGCATGATGTTCCCACCATGGCTGCATGGCAAAACACTAAAAAGTTTTTTAAGTTGCAAGCTGAGAGTGATGCATGACCAGCTACTTAGCCACTAGATTCAGATCCCTAACCCTAGGACCCTAACCGGTAACAATTTTAGAAACTTTATGAACCTAATGAAGTGTGTGTGTGTGTGTGTGTGTGTGTGTGTGTGTGTGTGTGTGTGTGTGTGTGTGTGTGTGTGCTTTATCCAAAGTTATTGAAATGAATGAAAAATATGAGCTTAAAGGTTCTTCAATAAACTGATGAGCTAGTTAGCTGTGATGCTAACTAATACCACAGAAACGTAAAAACACTGGGCTCATCTGGAAGGCCTCAGGTCCTAAAGCTCAACTTCTTGAAGGAAAGAGATAAAACATAAAAAAACAGATACACCATGTTTTCTCTGTCACTGCACAGATATACAGAAATAGATCCTGTGACTCATTCTCAGTACATTTCATTAATAATCATTCTTATGAATAATATTGATAATAATAATGTACAGTAAATAATGATACACTAATGATGCCCAAAGCAAATGCTTCAAGTTTAAGTGAACAATGATTAATAAAATCACCAGTAATAAATGATTAATTAATCAGGCATGTCTGCATCAGCAGAAGATGTAACCGTACCTGTTTTGCATCACTAACTCTGTGTTATCTGTTTGTGTTTATCTGTATTTAGTTCCCTTTATTAACACACGTTCTGTCCCTCATTCTGCATGATACATGACGTCATCATGGTCTCGGCTGCGTGTATAACAGGGTCTGGACCTGTCTAAGACCTGGGATGCTGCGTTACCTTTACCGCTGTGCAACATCTCTGCCAGATCTCTGTGGAGGACTGGACGTAGTGCTCGGGCTTGGGCCTCCAGATGCTGAGAGGCTCCTCTGTGGTGGTCTTTATCTGACCTTCTCGGGTCACCAGAGCGGCGCGCGCGCTTCCGGTGCCTACATCCACCCCCACATAGTAGAAGTCTTCTCCCATCAGGAGGGGGAACAAGGCATACCTGGTCGATTATTAACCACGACACGTTGGAATATTAAACATTTAAGTTAACACTAGTATGAACTTATGTTGCGTTTCTGTGAATAAACGTTCATGATCCCACTCTCTGTTGTGAAGATAACCGCTGCAGCAAGGCGACCAAAGAGCCAATCAAAACAAGACTATTTAACGCGTGAAATACGCTTAAAACGTTACGTAGCTGAGTACTTTTACGTCTTTAAATCCACACAAACATGTCTGACTCACCGTGTGATTAAAACCTTTACTTCTGCCCACAAAACATCACGTTTTACTAATGATCGCCACTGAATGAACTTTGACATGTAGGAGCAGTTCAAGACGGCAAGTGGAAACGGACAAAAAGGATACAGTCGCGTTTATTTACACCGGTGTTACGCCGAAAAATGTGCCCCGCAAAAAACTCTTTCCCAGCGGTTTAACCATCGGGTTTAGCTCTCCCTGCCTGAACTCTGCTGTATAAAGCACCCTTTTTAAATTAAATGGACTAGAATAGAAAGATTCTTATTTTCTGTCCGGTTTTTGTTTGTTCTTGTAAGTAAAATGGCTTGTATTTGATATAAACACAAAATAACACTATTCTCTGTGTGTGTGTGTGCCCGTTTTAAATAGGGTAACACATCTCGACAAAACACTGAAATGTCAAATAGGTTTCCAAGTGGAACTGTAAGAAAATACTCGAAATAAGGAAACATTATATATATATATGGGTCCTTCTCAAAAATTAGCATATTTCATCCGACCAATAAAAGAAAAGTGTTTTTAATACACAAAAGTCAACCTTCAAATCATTATGTTCAGTTATGTACTCAATACTTGGTCGGGAATCCTTTTGCAGAAATGACTGCTTCAATGCGGCGTTGCATGGAGGCAATCAGCCTGTGGCACTGCTGAGGTGTTATGGAGGCCCAGGATGCTTCGATAGCGGCCTTAAGCTCATCCAGAGTGTTGGGTCTTGCGTCTCTCACTTTCTCTTCACAATATCCCACAGATTCTCTCTGGGGTTCAGGTCAGGACAGTTGGCAGTCCAATTGTGCACAGTAATACCATGGTCAGTAAACCATTTAGCAGTGGTTTTGGCACTGTGAGCAGGTGCCAGGTTGTGCTGAAAAATGAAATCTTCATCTCCATAAAGCTTTTCAGCAGATGGAAGCATGAAGTGCTCCAAAATCTCCTGATAGCTAGCTGCATTGACCCTGCCCTTGATAAAACACAGTGGACCAACACCAGCAGCTGACATGACAACCCAGACCATCACTGACTGTGGGTACTTGACACTGGACTTCAGGCATTTTGGCATTTCCCTCTGCCCAGTCTTCCTCCAGACTCTGGCACCTTGATTTCCGAATGACATGCAACATTTGCTTTCATCCAAAAAAAGTACTTTGGACCACTGAGCAACAGTCCAGTGCTGCTTCTCTGTAGCCCGGGTCAGGCGCTTCTGCCGCTGTTTCTGGTTCAAAAGTGGCTTGACCTGGGGAATGCGGCACCTGTAGCCCATTTCCTGTACACGCCTGTACACGGTGACTCTGGATGTTTCTACTCCAGACTCAGTCCACTGCTTCCACAGGTCCCCAAAGGTCTTGAATCGGTCCGTCTCCACAATCTTCCTCAGGGTCCGGTCACCTCTTCTCGTTGTGCAGCATTTTCTGCCACACCTTTTCCTTCCCACATACTTCCCACTGAGGTGCCTTGATACAGCACTCTGGGAACAGCCTATTTGTTCAGAAACTTCTTTCTGTGTCTTACCCTCTTGCTTGAGGGTGTCAATGATGGCCTTCTGGACAGCAGTCAGGTCGGCAGTCTTACCCATGATTGCGGTTTTGAGTAATGAACCAGGCTGGGAGTTTTTAAAGGCCTTAGGAATCTTTTGCAGGTGTTTAGAGTTAATTAGTTGATTCAGATGATTAGGTTAATAGCTCGTTTAGAGAACCTTTTCATGATATGCTAATTTTTTTAGATAGGAATTTTGGGTTTTCATGAGCTGTGTGCCAAAATCATCAATATTAGAAACAATAAAAGGCTTGAACTACTTCAGTTGTGTGTAATGAATCTAATATATACGAAAGTCTAATGTTTATCAGTGCATTACAGACAATAATGAACTTTATCACAATATGCTAATTATTTGAGAAGGACCTGTACATATATATATATGTATGTATATATATATATATATATATATATATATATATATACATATATATATATATATATATATATATATATATATATATATATATATATACGTGTGTGTGTGTGTGTGTGTGTGTGTTCAATCTCTAATAAAATCAACAAATCTTGACAATTTGAGATACCAGAAGCTGTTTTATTCAATTGAATTAAAGTTTATCTATATAGCACCAAATCAGGACAAGAGTCGTCTCAAGGCACTTCACATAGTAAACATTCCAATGCAGGTCAGTTCATTAAGCCAATCATTAAAAAGTTTCTTATATAAGAAACCCAGCAAATTGCATCAAGTCACTGACTAGTGTCAGAGTCTTCACAGCAATCCTCACACACAACATATATACCAAGTAGTGTTTCTATGGTTACATTGTGATTTCTTAGTAAATATTCTATTTGGTGTGAGATCAACTTTATTGTATTTATCCTAGTGAATCTATAATTAAACGGGTAAACTAGTAGTAGCACATCCAATGTCAAGGAAAGTTAATGTTATTATCAGGAGAAGGAGAATGATTAAGTGGTTAGCAGCAGTGTTCAAGCCGATGGCCCCTCCATGGGGCCACCACAGCTCAGCAGAACACCATTGTAGCTTCTTCTGGGGAGAAAAACAGAGAAAAAAAAAGTTTAACAGCTGAAATAGCAGGAAATAATACAGTTAAAGAGCAGATTGTAGAAGAAAGTAGTCGAGAGTGGAAAGTGGTCAGTGTATCCTCCAGCAGTCTAAGCCTATAGCAGCATAACTACGGAGATAAGTTTGGATAAGCTAGCCTTTTAGATAGAGGCATGCTGGAGGCAGGGCAAGGGAGAGCCGTTTTTATCGACTGTATCCTCCACCTCCCTCTACTCCCCCAGGTGTCCAGATCTGGGCTAACATCAGATTTTAACCATAGGACTGAGCCCAATGCAGCCAAAAGAAAAGAAGCTAAACACTAAATGGGGGATTTTTCTAAACTGAAATTAGCATGTTTCTGAAAGTATTTCTGCCCTTTTCAATCCACACTCTACATTCAGGATGTGACTACTACAGAGCAGAACCTGAAGGGTGACATGCCAGGTTGGGTGAGAAGTATTTTACCAGTAGCTGTTTGGAAAAATACAACATGAGCCAGAGCTTTGAGTGGTTCCGTTGGTTTTTTCCATAAAATGGTGCGTAAACGTTTTACAAGAATAGTTTGAACAAGAACATTCATGAAGAAATTTGAAAATGGGACCTGTCACCTGGTACAAGACAGTGGTAATCAAATCTTTAGAAAAAAGCCACACACCTAAAGTTTGAAAGGGTAGCTCAATCTGAAATTTGAGTTAAAGACGAAGCAGATACAAATTAAATAGATGAACTACTTTCTATGTTAAAGAAAGTAAAATGTTAATAAAAGGAGAGGGAAATTTGTCAACGGTCATCAGAAGAATGCCGAATACCTCCAGAAAGGTATGACAGCTGGTGTCACAGGGTGGGAAAATCCCATCTCTCTGACTGTGTGAAAATATCTGCAGGACTTTTAATGTGAGAGATGATTCTGTAAGTGTCTCTCATCAAAGTTTCTACAGGAACATTCTACTTTTTTTACCTTCGTTATTCACTCATACGTGTGAGTGGGTATGTGTGGGAGCACCTGGAGTAAACCCACGCATGCATCAAGGAGAACATTCTAGCGTCACGCACAAAGGTTGCGGCTGGGACTTGAATCAGTTTCCTCTTTGCTAGGCCACAGTGCCAACAACATCTCCATCATGCAGCCCATGTTTTAGATATAAAAGTAAGAGAGCAAAATAAAAGTTTTGACATCTTCTTTGTGCAACCCCATTTTCCAAAAGTGCACATTGGGTGGTGTACCACAAGGGTCGGTATTGGGCCCTAAACTATTTATCATTTATATAAATGACATTGTTGAGGTATCCAGTATATTATAAATGCACCTTATTTGCAGATGATACAACTTTTTATTATTCAGGAGATAATGTTGACCAGATGATAGAAGTGATGCAGAGATGAAAAAAATTAATCTATGGTTTGATGGGAACAAACTATCATTAAACAGTGATAAATCATGTTTTATGATATTTAGTAATACATATTCAAATGATTAAATTTTATTAAATATAGATGAGATTACTATTAAAAGAGTTAAAGAAGTCAAGTATCTGGGAGTCATCATTGATGAAAAACATTTCTTGGAAACTGCATATAAACAGTGTCAAAACTAAAATATCTAAAACTACTGCACTGTTACATGGAGCAAAAGGGTTGCTTGATAATAATTCATTATATTTGTTATATAACTCACTGATCATACCATACCATACCTGAACTACTGCATTGAAATCTGGGGAACAACACGTAAAACTTACACAAATTCCATTTACATCTTACAGAAAAAAGCAATAAGAATAATCACAAGGAGCAACTACAGAGATCCATCCAATCCATTATTTATAAAATTAAAAACATTGAAATTCTATGATCTGGTGGACTACAATATTTTAAAATGTATGTATATTGCAAACAAAAGGAACGTACCTGCAGGATTAATCAAAAGATTTTCAAAAAGACATAGTAAATATGATTTAAAAGGACATGAATTATTTAACATACCTAGACATAGGATAGTCATAAAGGAACATTGTGTGTCCATATATGGAGTTAAAATGTGGAATAAATTAAATACTGAAATCAAGAATGCAAAAACAATATTGACTTTCAAAAGAAGAGAAAAAAAATGAAATGATTAACTTATATAGATCTGTTACATAAACGCGTGAGGGGAGGGGGGGATGGGTGGGTGAAAGAAAAAAAAGGGAACAAGTCTATGTATGCATATGTGTTTATATGTAAGTGTATATGTATATAACTTTATGCTTCTTTCTGTGTAACTTGTTTTCTCTCTTTTTTTCAATTCGTGGGTTGGGGTTGTGTCGACCAACCAGTCCAGAAAATATATTGTTCTTATAATCACGTTTGTTTCATTTGTATTAATGTTATTTTAGTTAAACGGGGCTCATAACATACGTTTTTCTTCTTTTTGTCTCCTTTTTCATTTTGGCTTTTAGCAATTTAGTTTTGTATTTTTATTTTAATGTCAATAAATGAAAATAAAGTTGAAAAAAAAAAAAGATTGACTCATGACTTATCCTTGTGTTTGCGTTGACACGCTGGAATCGTGAACT